GAGGAGCTCTGGCAGGTTCTGGCTGCTCCTCACCCTGCGCATCCCAGCCCGGAGCAGCGGAGGGGAGCGTGGAGCAGAGGGGCTCCCTAAGGGCAAACCAAGCGGGAGGAAAACCCCAAGAGTGCAGCAATAGGCTGCAGGAAGCTCAGCCAGCTTCTCCCTGGAAGACATTTGTCCCAGCTGCAGATCCAGCAGCCCCAAAGGTCCCCGGGGCACAGAGGAGTCGCTGCGGGTCAGGCACGGAGGGGATGCTCAGGTGGAGATGGGAAGGAAAGGAAGTGTTAGGAAAATTAACCCACAAACAGGTTTATATCCAAAAAGGAGAAAGAAGAGTCCTTTTTAGGCTTTATTTGAATAAAGGGAGAGGCCATGGGGCATTCCCCTGGGGTCTCTCACTTTTTTGGAGGATGCAGCCTCCTTTTTATCCCAATTTCCCATTTCCCTTCTCTCTTTCCCCATTTCTGAGGTACCTGAGAGGTTCAGACTTCCCAAAACACCAGATATTTCCCTCTAAAGCACAACCTTCCCTTTTAATTTTTAATTCTTATGGCATTTAGGGGTTTTTATTCCTCGTTGTTTCTTTCATCTTTCAATGTCTAATTTCATTTATCATCAAACCTACAGTTTGTTTGTAAAAGCAAATATCTTTTTCCATTCATCAATCAGTGGAATCCTTCCCATGGTTTCTTTTATCTCCCAGTGCTGGTTTTATCCACCTGCAGACCCACAGCTGGTTTGGAAAGACACATCCAGTACTCCTGTCAGAAGGGAAGCAGATAAAGTCCAGGTTCCCCATTGCACTCAGCAACTCAACACTTGAATTAATATGGTTTAGGGGAGCTCCTTTCAGCACAGAAAATATTTCTGCTCTTGTTTCAAGCATCTTTCTGGCAAGGGAAGGGAAAAACAGGCAGGGAGGGGTTGGTTCCTGGTTTAAGGAGAACAGGGGCTTGGCTGAAGAAAGAGGACGAGAAAGAACTGAAACCCTCAGGACCTTCTGAAAACAATTGTACTCTTGAGAGGAAAAATCCTAAATGCATTAATTTCATAGAGATCTCTCCTCAAACACAAGTGCAGCACATCCTGAGGGGGGTGACCCTGCAGCAGGGACATTGATGGAGCCTTCCTTTATGGACAGGAATGATGGAGAGGAATGGGAATTCGTGGAAAAGATCTTTTCAAAGTTTTTACTTGCATGACACCAAGCTCTCTCAGACTCTGTTCCCCTTTGCCATCTGCTTAATTCAACAAAAAACCATTAAAACTGTCTGGGGGAAAAAAAAAAGAAAAAAAAAGAAGCTTGTTTAAGTCAGATCTGGTGAACAGTAACTTCACCAGATGTTGGAAGAGACTGAAAATACAGATTCCAAATTAAAGATTTAAAAAAACCAAACAGGTGTAAACAGGTTTCAGGTAGCACACTGTACATCATGGACGTTTATAACTTTTTATATATTATATATATAAAGTCAGATGAGCATTTCTATAAAGGAAAAACTTTGTATTTTCAATTATTTATTGCTAAAATATGAAGGAACTCATAAAATTACTACAGATGTTTGAAGAGACTAAAAACACAGCTTCCAAATTAAAGATTTTTTTTTAAAAAAAGTGACCTAAAATAAAAATAAACCTTTCAGTAACAGGCTTTACTTTTATTCCCAGTACAAGGAGACAGTGACTCCTCACACCCACTAGGACTTCTAAATCTGTGCATTCTTGTGATGGTTTTCATACAGTTCCAAAGCATAAAAAGCTCACTTGAGCTGAATTCAAGTAAATCCCCAAAGAGTTTTCATAGTGATCAATCTCACCACTGAAAAAACTCCCACCTCTTACTCTCATACATTGTTTTTTACTTTTGTGAGTAGCGATTCCCAAGCCACTTGGAAAGAACCAGACTTTAATGTTTGAATGACAGCATAAGTTACATTTTTAAAAGTTAATCATATTTCTGATGCACAAGGATTAAACCTACCAAGGTTTACAGTTGTCAGGGGTTGGAGTCCAAAAAAAAAATCAAGTTTTTTTTGCTATCCTTGTAGGAAAAATGTCCTGTTAGACTGCGTTGGGGTAACAGATTGAGAACCCAGAGCAGAAAGGCAGCACTGCAGCTGCTCAGCTCTAAAGGAGCCACATTGCTGGGAAATTCCCTTTGTTTATAAGGGATTTTACAGCTCAAGGGTTTATTTCCTGCATCACAGCACAGAGGACTTTTCATCCATCACAGCAGTGATTTCACAGGTCTGGCACCTACAGCAAATTCCCTTTTTACACACAAGTAATGGAGCAAAGAATATAAGACAGCACAAATTATATTATATTATATTGAAGAATATTATATTTAAATATTATATATTATATTGAAGAAAATTATATTTAAATACTGTTTTGCTAAGAGATCACATTGATGACCATTTTTTTGATATTGGTAATATTTAGACTAGCAGAGAAAATTAATGCCATATCTGGAAGCTTTGGGAATCTTGTCAAGATGAGACTTTCCTCCAATCTCTTGGTAGAAATAACCCATATTTGGGAAATGCTATCACAAGAACAAGACTGGGTTTTGTCATGGAAAAACTGACATTTAGTATAATTTTTACTAGAAAATTCAGCTGCTAAAAGAGGATTTTCATGGAAGCCTGAGCTTACATTTAGAAGGCCAAAACATTCTTTGGATTGTGGCCATCTTCTGTTAACTCTTTTTAATATTAATGGACTATAAGCCAAGTGTTAAAGAGAGTTGTTTAAAAAATGCCAGCCAGTGTCAAAAAAAGTCTGTATTTGTCTCCTGATAACTTCAGGTTAAGGATGAAACTTAAACACAATAAATTTACTTAGGGGAAAAAATGAAGTAAACACAGCGGTGTGTAGAAAATTGTTTAATTAAGTAACTGTTTATGCTGCTTGAAGGATACTGAAGCTGCACTTCCAAACTGTCCTGGCTGGACTGAGACATTGTCATTTCAGTGGGAACAACAGGCAGCTTTACCAAGTTTTTCATTTACTTTTTATCAAAAATATTCCTTGAATATTGGCAGGCATTGAATAGGGACTGTTCCCTTACAGAGAAATAAATGAGTTTTTGAGAGAGAAATTAATCAAACTCCTAGCATGTTTGTACTTTCAACAACTCAAGGATAATTTAAAGGGGAAAAATCACTATAAAAATAAGTTTCTTAGGTACAACAGAGTGAGTAAAGGCAATCTGAATCAAAATCTCACTTTCTGCTTGAATTTAGCCTGAATCAAAATCTCATTTTCTGCTTGAATTTAGTCTGAATCAAAATCTCACTTTCTGCTTGAATTTAGTCTGATGAACAAGAATTTTGCTCTTTGCAGCTCTAATTTCTTAAAAATCTACCAGCAAGAGACTTGCCAATTTCTAGAAACTTTCTCCCACTCAGTCAGGGCTTAATAGATTGCACCTGCCCTAAAGAGGCACCAGGCATCCACTTAGCATCTCCCAGTAGATTCCTGCTCCTTGGAAATGTAACACAATAACAAATCATGATTGCTGAGCCTCCCTGTAGAAAAAGCTCTTCACAGACAGCAAAAATTAAGGAGGCATTTCACGGTGAGGTCAGGGTTTAGAGTTTCCACAAAGTAAACCAATGTTTTTGGTTGTTTTTTTGTTTTTAAATCCGTTCTTAGTGAACTTTGTTTCAGTGCAATTGAACTGTGCAAACATTAAAGCCCATTTATTCATTATTATTGCTTTCTTCTGCTGGGTTAGAGATAAGGAGTGACATCAGTAGCTCCTGAAGAAAGGGCACCTTAACCTGCTTTGGAGCAGGAGTTCCCCAGATCAATTCTGCACGTTGCTTCCTCAATCCTGCCCTCAGCAGTGCCAGGAGAAGGTTTGGGAAGCAGTGAACACCATTTACTGTATTCTGCTGGTTTATTCACCAGAATTGTCAGGGCTGGAAGGATCTCTGGAGATCATCCAGGCCAGGCCCAAATGCAGTTCATGGATTCCATTTGCAGCCAAGGAGAGCTGACTAACCAGGCAGATTTCTTTGCTGGTATTTTTTCCAGTTGAAGACTCAGTTAAAGTTGCCTTTTCTCCCTTTATTTTGTCATAAATTTAAATGGGAATACGAGGGGGTGAAGATCAGTCATTCCAGCTTCTTACATCAGCTCCTTGCCTTGGCCATGCCCCTGCACTTAAGCACACCTGAAGAGCTGGAGACAAAGACACAGACTGGGATGTAAACACTATCCAGACATGCTGGTTTAACTTCCATGGAATAATTTCTGTCCTCAGCATCCATTGAGTCATTTCTGTCCTCAGCATCCATGGCGTCATTCCTATCCTCAGCATCCATGGAATCATTTCTGTCTTCAACATCCATGGAGCAGTTTCTGTCCTCAACATCCATGGAATAATTTCTGTCCTCAACACCCATGGATTCATTTCTGTCCTCAGCATCCATGGAGTCATTTCTATCCTCAACATCCTTATTCCTGTCCTCAGCATCCATGGAGCAGTTTCTGTCCTCAGCATCCATGGAGTAATTTCTCTTCTCAGCATCCATGGAGTAGTTTCTGCCCTCAACATCCATGGAGTCATTTCTGTCTTCAACATCCATGGAATAATTTCTGTCCTCAACACCCATGGAATAATTTCTGTCCTCAGCATCCATGGAGTCATTTCTGTCCTTAACATCCATGGAGTAATTTCTGTCCTCAACATCCATGGAATAATTTCTGTCCCCAACATCCATGGAGCGGTTTCTGTCTCCAACATCCATGGAGTCATTTCTGTCCTCAACATCCATGGAATAATTTCAATCCTCAGCATCCATGGAGTCATTTCTGTCCTCAGCAATGGCTCCTGTCCAGCAATTCCTGTCCGCAGAAATGACTCCATCCATGGAATAATTTCTGTCCTCAACACCCATGGAATCATTTCTGTCCTCATTCTCAGGAGATGCTCTGTGAGCTGTGAGCAGCTGCCTCAGAGGAATTGTCCGGGCAGAGCCTGAAGGATCCAGGATCACAGCATTTCCCAGGTACTCCTGTCTCCTCTGCCTATGGATGCTGCTGGCACCAAGGACACAGCTCCTCTCCCAACACCCACCTGTGAGTAAAGCCCGGGCAAGAAGGAATTTGACCTCTCATAAGGCAGCACAAATCATTTGAGCTCAAACCCTGGTTACTGGAATAAAAGGGATAAAGTTAAACGAAGTATTGCATCACTGAGTTTCAATAGGAAATGCTGATTATTGAACAATCTGTTGCATTGTGTTGCTCTGGACATGTTTGGAGTTATGAGGGTGAGAAATCCCATGCATACCTCAATGCTAGTTGTGTAAATACTTTGAGCAAATATATGCACAGTCTCAATTTCCTTCCGTATTGCTTTAGGAGACTTACCAGAACATAAACTCAGACAAGCTATGAAATGGCACAGAATGTGTGTCACCCTCACAGACATTTTTCATCAATGGACAGGAGGCAGAATTTGGGCACTTATCATTTGCTCCAAAACATAAAATATCATTAATTAATCCTGCACTGCGGATGAAGTTAGCAGTTGGGAAGCAGAAGATGCTTATTAATCCTGAAAAATCCTAATATTCTGTATTTAATCTCGAATAGGCCTGGCATCTTTAAATGTTTGAAATCTGTGCGAGCCTAAATTGTGTAGGAAGAGATTACTCATTACCTATAATTTGAACGATTGCCTACTGACTGCCAACTGCTGGATTCTCAAACTGTTGGAGGCTGTAAATAAGCACTGGCTTGTTTAAATTATTTAGTACAAAATATGTAAATATTGCTTTTACTAGCACATTTTAAATTGGTTTGCCAATATGGAGCTTATGTTATGGTTCACAATCAGCTGTTTAATGAGATATGATGAATTAAAACTGTGAGGGATTAAATTTTTTCTTTAGATTGTGGGATCTGAAATAGATGAAGCTCTATGAAAACTGTTTGGGATTGGTTAGTGGGGTTTCCTAAAACACAAATCACCTGTATGTAAATGTCACTGTTGTATTTTCTGAAAAATCCCTTCACCAGGATTTCTTTCCTGGGAAGCTACGAAGCCTCAGAGGAAAAAAAAAAAACAAAACAATATTATCTCATTTGCTTCTCCTGTGTTTTGCTGCTTTGGAATGTGGTTGGAGATTGTTTATCAAACAGGTGATTGTTAGATTGGTTTAATGTGAATTGTTTTAACTTAATAACCAACCACAATCTGGCTGTGTTGGACTCTGGAGAGGAGTTGCAAGTTTTCATCATTCTTTGTAACCTTCTGCCTGCATCCTTTCTCTATTTAGTACAGTTTTAGTATAGCATTTATTTAATATATTATAAATAGCATAGAATAATAAATTAGCCTTATGAGAACATGGAGTCAGATTCCTCACCTCTCTCCTCATCCTAGAGACACAGCAAACTCAGCATGTAAAATGTCTTAAAAATTTGTTTTTTAGGAAAGCCCTAAAAGGGACAGTGCTAAGCTGAGGCACAAATTAGCTTTATTATCTTATTACTACAGTGACTGAGCAGGTTTTTTTCCTTTCCTCTAGTTGTGGAAATAAAAATCCCCAAGCAGCCCAACACGTTTTCACCCAGGAGTGCAAACCATGACTGAACGCCCAAGGCCTAGACGCCCATTCCGCTTCTCCCTCACCAAAAAGATGTCCAACAACACAACAGAGGCCTCCAGCAGCGCTCCCCGAGCCCTCCTAGGCCTGTTCCTGGGCAGCATCTCCCTGATCACCATCGTCATGAACATCCTGGTGCTGTGTGCCGTGAGGACGGAGAAGAAGCTGCAGACCGTGGGTAATTTATACATCGTGAGCCTCTCCATCGCCGACCTGATCGTGGGGGCGGCCGTCATGCCCCTCAACATCGTGGACCTGCTGAGCCCCCGGTGGCCCCTGGGGCTGGCAGCCTGCTTGTTCTGGCTCTCCATGGATTACGTGGCCAGCACGGCCTCCATTTTCAACCTCTTCATCCTGTGCGTGGACCGGTACCGCTCGGTGCAGCAGCCGCTCCGGTACCTCAAGTACCGCACCAAGATGAGGGCCTCACTGCTTATCCTGGGGGTCTGGCTGCTCTCCTTCACCTGGCTCATCCCCATCCTGGGCTGGCACGTCTTTGCCAACAACGGGCACAGGACGGTGCAGGGGAACAACAAGTGTGAGACGGAGTTCTTCGAGGTGACCTGGTTCAAAGTGCTGGCGGCCATCCTCAACTTCTACCTGCCCTCGCTGCTGATGCTGTGGTTCTACTGCAGAATCTTCAGCGCTGTTCGAAAGCACTGCCAGCACAGAGAGCTCAGCAATGGCTCCTACTGGTCCTCAGTGGAAAAAGCCACCACTCCTCAGACCAAGACGAAGGATGGGAAAAATATCTGCCTCCAGGAGCAAGTCGTAGGTGGGAACACCCCCGGTGCAGACAAGGAAAGCTCCCCAGAGCCCCATAAAGTGGAGGCAGAGCTTTGTTTCAGCTATCCTGACAGAGCTTCAAAGGCCCTGAGTAATGGGAAAGTCCTGAACTGGAGCTGCTTCTCTCTCAGCACAGCCAAGGCTGAGCCTGGCTTGGATAAAGCAGAGAAGAGGGGGGTGTGTGCCACAAAAGAAATTGCTAATGAGGAGCAGCCCGGCTGCCAGGACAGTGACTCCAGCGGGGCATCAGACCACCACACCTTCACTGAGGTGGCAGAGCCCAGCCCCAGAGGAGCCTGCTGTCCTCATGGGAGGACAGAGCGCAGGGACTCGAGGGGAATGGCATTCCTGAGGAAAACCTGGCACACGCTGCACAGGCACTCCAGGAGCATCCACTGGCACGGCAACAGGGAGAGGAAGGCAGCCAGGCAGCTGGGGGTGATCATGGCAGCCTTCATGCTCTGCTGGATCCCCTACTTTGTGCTCTTCATGGTGATAACCTTCCACGACCACAAACAGCTCTCAGAGCTGCACAGGGCCACCATATGGCTGGGCTACATCAACTCCACCTTGAACCCGTTCCTCTACCCTCTCTGCAACCAGAATTTCAAGAAGACTTTTAAAAAGATCCTTCACATTCATTGATGCTGGTCTGGGGTTTTGGAGCTCAAGTGCAGCTCAGGATTTTGACCAAACAAAATGTTCTGGTTCCAAGGGATGGGTACAGTGAAAGACTTTGGCAAACTGTAATCTGTAAAAGTGGGAAATGTGCATTTAATAGTTTTAACACATTTAAAGAGCAACTTCAGGTCAAGAATCTGAAAAACTCAAGGTCAGTACATGAACTGTTACACTGTTGTCAACCTTTCACCACTTGATACCACCACTTCCTTCACAGAAACCTCTTCAGTGATTATAAATTATTCAGCTACAGAAAAGGAAGAAATCACATTTCTGTCATTGGCCAAAAACATTTTTCTCTTTCAATTTACTCCATAACCACATTGCTTGTGAAGTGAGATTTGCAAGTGGAGGTACTTTGCACAGTCAAAGAAAGAACTTGCAACTGTCTAAAAAACTCCCCTATTTATTTATAGCTTCCTCCAAAGTACAAACTTTTCATCAAATGTCAAGTTTTACTGTGTATCCTACTGTATCTCTTTGATATCATGCTTATATTAACTGTACATTAACTTTGCTGGAAAAAAAGGTAGATTTTTTTATGTCCCAAAAGAGTTTCCATGCTCAATATACTGTCATCATCTGCTCCAGAAGGGTGTGCTGCTGTTTCTAGACTTGCAGAATATAGTTGATTATACATTAAATATGTTTACCTTTTCTACCCTTTGCATTTAATTGTATTTCATAAATCTTGCTGTTGTAAATTTCAGCAGAAAAACACAATAATTTAATATTTGGTATTGGAAAAGAGACCAAGAAGATGCTGAAGTACAACTGAAAGCTGGGCTGGCTTGGATGTTACGAAGAAAAAAGAAATTCCTCTCATTGCTTTTGCTGTGCTGCTGAATTTCCCACATTCTGAACAGTTTCTTAATTGTATTTAAAGGATTCATTATTAAATCAACCCCTAAAATGTCTGCATTTTAATACATTGGGGAAATGTGCTAAAGGAATAACCTTAAATTCAGGCTATATCAGTGTATCATGCAAGGTTCAGAGATTAATTGACTTTGGTTTCAAGTTGCACTCAGGAAAAACTGCAATTAGGAAAATTAAATCTAGGAGAAATAAGGCAAAATGCAGAGAGAGAACATAAAACCAACAAAATTCTTTGCAGAATTCAGACAACTTTTTCACTGCAGGAGGAACACCTTCACAAGGAGTGAAATGCACCTTTTTGGAGTAGAGAACAGAACCTTTTGAAACACATTCCCTAATCCCTGGCCTTCCACAAACAATTGCTGAGGTTCACAGCCATTAAATTGTTTTTTTTCCTATTCTGATTTGCAACAGCAATTCTGGCCAGAATGGATGGTAATTTAGATGATCCCTGAGGAAATAAAAGTCAGCCACAGTTATTAGTGCTGAAAAACACATTTACCTAAGGGCTGCTGAGAGTTATCAAGAAATCTATCCTGTTGCTCATGAAAATTGCCTTTCCTGACCTTAAAATGTGCTAATACGTGACAAAACCTCAGCAAGATCATTGAAAATTGGTCTAAAAATGGTGGTGACTGTAACAACAAAAATGTTTGGTAAAAATAAAGAACATTCAAACAGCTAAACCCAGGAAAATAAAGCTGCCTGAACATTGTTTTTTAATTTAAAGCCTTTTTAGCCATGATCTTTGTGTAACTGTGTTAACAGCAAAGACAGGGGATTTGTGATAACCAATTTTATAGCTATTAGATAACAATAAACAGGGAAATGGGACAGTGCATATTTTAAAAAGCAAGTACCTAAGAAAATTCCTGAGTTTATTTCACTGAGCAGCCAGTTCCAGTGGCTCTGGATGTGAGGGAAGCAGAGGAAAGCAAATTACGGTAAGAAATGGAGAAACCTCCCACCAACGTGGGGCAAGGCTCGAGAGAATATTTCAGGAGTGGTTTCCTGTAAAATGCTTTCAGTGTTTTCCATTTGACAGCCAAGGTCAGAGGACACTGAGCTTCAGAGAACCCAAAGAGAGTCTGGGGATTTCTTGTGAAAAACACATTCACTCTCCTGTGAGTGAAAAACACCAATCACTTGTTTCCAAAATTTTAAATGGTTATATAAATAGCAATATAATTAGAGTAATAAAAATTTTGGACAATTTGGATTTAGGACAATATGAGACAATAGAAACAAAGAGTTGCAGACATCCAGGTACCTTTTTCTGGGCAAAATAAACCCGAAAAAGAACCCACATTAACAGAGGATTAACTCTTAAAAAAATAACCTGTTGCATGTTCATACATCTCATACATGATGCATAAATTCCATTCAAACACAGGATTCTGCCTGGTCAGTGTCAGCTTCTTCCTCTGAATCCTGATGGCATTTTCAGGACTGAGTGAGGAAGAAGAAGTTCATTTCTTCTGATGAGGGAGCAATAAATTCTTTTTATCTGAAAGATTTAGGTGTCCTGTGGCTACTATCTCAGTGGGGGTACCTCATTCCTCTCTTTAAAAAAAGTATCTTACATAGCATAGTTTCTATTTTAACCTTATGTTATAACCTTAAACTATATTTAACACACTACTTAAGAGAATTAATACAACATAAGTCTCTAACATAACACATATACTATTCATTTTAATAATTGCAAGAAGCCAATAATAAAATACGCATTTTTCACATGTGGAAATTTAAAAATCACTGGCAGCTGAGCTATCTTGGGTGTGAAATAGATCTCCAAGAGCTTATGAGACCTGGCTTGAGGAGACCCCTATTTCACTCCAGTTATGGGCTTTGGTCCATAACTCTCCATATTTTGGTCCAAAATATGGTCCATATTTTCTTCAGAGGGTGAGTGCTGACAGTTGGCAGATGTGTACAGGCGTCCTCTTCATTCATGGAGGATTGAATGGATGTTATCCCATCCCAGCAAGCATTTTAACACAAGCGTACTTACATCAGCTATTTCACTGAGCTTATTTAACAACAGAAATAAAAACTGTATCTTTATAACAAAGTTACTTTAACACTACACATGCAAAATCCATTTTAACACTTGCGAAAAGCCAGTATTATACTATGTATCCCTGACAAAGGTGTGCTGGGATTGTGATGTGCTGGTTTACAGCTCTCGGAGCTCTCCGTGGGACAGCAGGGACACCTGGCGGGGCAGCAGCGAGCCCGGGATGCCGCGGCCAGCCGGGAATTCCACCGCGCTCTTCCACACCGGCAGCAAATGCCGCCCACAGGAGAGGAAACAGCAGTGCAGGAGCACGTGTGGGCATTTTCCCACCGTCTAAAATGGAATTAAATTAAATTATTAAATCTTCTGAGGGCTCTGCTGCGTGCAGGGGAAGAAGGAGCAGCACAGGGCAGCGGACACACGGACGGCAGCGGACACACGGACGGCAGCGGACACACGGACGGCAGCGGACACACGTGCGGCTCCGAGCGCTGCGGGGCGCGGGTCAGCCGGACTGCCCCGAAGCGGAGGATGCTACCGAGAGCGGACGAGCACAGCCGCATCCCGCCGGGATCGGGACCGGGATCGGTATGGGGATGGAGATCGGGACCGGGATGGGGATGGGGATCGGGATGGGGATCGGGATGAGGATGAGGATGGGGACCGGGACCGGCCCGCCCAGCGTGGCCCTCACGCCATCACCCCGCGCCGCCCGGCCGTCACACGCTCCGCCGCGGTAACATCACCGCTGTGCGCCGGCCGGGCATGCCGGAAGTGCGGAGCGAGCGGCGCAGCCGGTAAGGGGGAACGGGGATGGAGTGCCACGGGTCCAGAGAGCCTACACGGCACCGGCACCGTCACTGCCGGGTCACAGCCCCGGCACGGTCCCCGCCCTGCCCCTTGCTCCCCGCGGTCGGTGTGCCCGGGCCTCACCGGCTCCCCGGGCTGCAGTCAGGCGTACACGGGGCGGGGGCTGCCCCGGGCCGGGCCGGGGCCGTGTCAGTGTGCGGGGATGGTGCCATGTCCGTGTTCGGTGCCGGCGCTATGTATGTCCTCTGTCAGCCCGTGTCACTGTGCGGGTCCCGGTACCGTGTGGCTGTGCGAGGCTGGTCCCATGTCAATGTGCGGGGATGGACCCATGTCTGTGTTCGGGCCCGGTGCCGTGTGGCTGTGCCGTTCCCGTGTCCGTGTACGGGGACAGTGCCATGGCCATGTCCGTGTTCGGTCCCGGTGCCGTGTGGCTGTGCCGTTCCCGTGTCCGTGTACGGGGATAGTGCCATGGCCATGTCCGTGTTCGGTCCCGGTGCCGTGTGGCTGTGCCGTTCCCGTGTCCCTGTCCGGCCCCGTTCCCGTGTTGGACCTCTGTCCGTCCATGTCGCTGTGCGGGGCCGGTGCTGGTCCGGGTACCGTGTGGCTGTGCCGTGTCCGGTGCCGGTGTCCCTGTACCGTGCTTGGTGCCGGTGTCCCTGTGCCGTGACCTTGTCCGTGCTCGATCCCATTCCCGTGTGGTTGTGCCGTGTCCGTGCTCGGTCCCGTTCCTATGTGGCTGTCCCGGTGCCGGTGTCCCGGTGCCATCCCGGCTGTATCTCTGTTCACAGGGCCGCGCTCCCCCCGGGCCATGGCCGCAGCAGCCCCGTTCCGTGCCGGGCCATGCCCGCTGTGTCCGTGTCCCGGTGCCCATCCAGGCTGTGTCTCTGTTCACAGGGCCGCACTCCCCCCGGGCCATGGCCGCAGCAGCCCCGTGCCGTGCCGGGCCGTGCCGTGCCGGTCCGGTTCCGCTGCAGTTCGCCCCGTTCAGCAGCGCGCTGGACGCGGGCTTCTGGCACGAGCTGACCCAGAGGAAACTCAACCAGTACCGCCTGGACGAGACCCCCAAGCTCATCAAGGGCTACTACTACAACGGTGAGCACCCGCTGACCCACCCACCGGGATCTGCCAATTCCACCAGGCCCTGCCAATCCCACCAGGCCCTGCCAATTCCACTGGGCTCTGCCAGTTCCACCGGCCCTGCCAATTGCACCACTCTGCCAATTCCACCAGGCCCTACCAATCCCACCAGGCCCTGCCAATTCCACCAGGCCCTGCCAATTCCACTGGGCTCTGCCAGTTCCACCGGCCCTGCCAATTGCACCACTCTGCCAATTCCACCAGGCCCTACCAATCCCACCAGGCCCTACCAGTTCCACTGGGCTCTGCCAGTTCCACCAGGCCCTACCAATCCCACCGGCCCTGCCAATTCCACCCAGCTCTGCCAATTCCTGCCTCTCCTCTCAGCCTATTCTGCTCCTCTGGCACATTTCAGATGTTTCTGAGACACTACAAAGAGTGGCTGGGAGTTTTGTATGTTTCGCTGTAATTTACATCAACAAAAACCAGAAATAACCCCAATGTTTTGGTTTAAAAGGAGCTTTGTTGTTGCTTTTTTGTCCAGGTGATCCTTTGGGCTTGCCAGCTCGCTTGACACTGGAGTTCAGTGCCTTTGATATGTAAGTACAGGCTGGGGTTTGCCTCCATTTGTGTGTGGAGACACTTTCCTGACATAAAATTGATATATTAGTTAGAGAAACTCTATGTGAGAATAGATAACTCAACGTGAGAATAGATAACTCTACATGAGAATAAATAACTCAACATGAGAATAGATAATTCTACATGAGAATAAGTAATTCTGCATGAGAATCAATAACTACATGAGAATCAATAATTCTACATGAGAGTAAATAACTCTACATGAGAGTAAATAACTCTACATGAGAGTAAATAATTCTACGTCAGAATAAATAATTCTGCATGAGAATAAGTAATTCTGCATGAGAATCAATAATTCTACATGAGAATCAATAATTCTACATGAGAATCAATAATTCTGCATGAGAATAAATAACTCTACATGAGAGTAAATAATTCTACATAAGAATAAATAATTCTACATGAGAATAAGTGATTCTGCATGAGAATCAATTATTCTACATGAGAATCAATAACTCTACATGAGAATAAACTCTACATGAGTGGAGTTTATTTCCCTTTGGTAAAAAATCTTCTTACCAAAGGTTTTTGTTCTCACAGTCACCATCCTTTTTAGACCAATTTTCAATGATTTTTGTCGTGTATTAGTATATTTTAAGGTCAGAAAAGGCAATTTTCCTGAATAAATTAATAATGAACTTTATAGCAGTGAAGGGACTGCTTTGAGTCACAAAAAATTAACTCCTTCTGGCTGAATTTAAAATATTCCTTCTTTTTCCCAGGAATGCTTCAATACCAGCACGTTGCTGTCCTGCTTTTGGAACGTTGTATAACACCAACACTTTTGAGACTTTCAAATCCTGTGACAAGAAAGCACTTCTGGACAAGGAAGCAAATGAGGTGAGATTTAAAATCAGCTCACTGAGTGTTTTCAAATCCTTTCTACCCCTTGAAGTGCTTCACACTCTGCCCCAAATTTGGGGATACTCCAGTCCTGAGTAGCCTCAGGATTTAGCTTATTCTGGAAGGAAGAGTTTGGTGTTTGCTTTTTACTGTTCTCTACAAAAGATTTAATTTAATTAATGATAACTAATTCTACATGGAGAACTCCACACATTTTAAGCTCTGCAATGCTCTTGGAGCTGCCAGGGACTTGAATTCTGTAGAGCACATATTTTAAATTTGTGTTCATACCTAAAAACCAGCAGTGCCTGGTTTAAACCTCAGATTAATGCAATTTATCTGTATGACAGAGAGATGGGGGAGCTCCACAGGAGGAAGAAGCCTGAGATAAAGCAAGAAAAAGATGGGTGAGAGGGGCTGGTCTGCCTGCTCTGTCAGCAGTTAATTTAATGTCTTGGCCTGGGGAGAGGTGAAAGTCAAATTTAAGATGCTTTACTTTGACCTGTCCTTGATTCCTTTAATTACTTACCTTGGGTAACAAAGTTTTCATGCATATCTTCACTCCAAAATAGGAATTTTTTGCATTCCTGTGGCCTTGTAATTCCCTGTTGTCTGACCTTTAAAATCCTTTTAATGCAGATAGTTGTATGAATAAATTCAGTTAAAAAAAAAAAAAAAAACAGTGAATGTTTATCTCCAAACTTTAAGAATTACAGATTTTTGCAGCTGTTCTCATGTCCTCTTGGTGTTTCTCTGCCCTTTTTCTTCCTCCTTGTCCCCACAATCCATTGCAGATCTGGGAATCCATCAAATCTGGAGCTGCCCTGGAGAACCCAATGCTCCTGAACAGGTTCCTGCTGCTGACATTTGCAGTGAGTAAAGATAATTTGTGTCTCCTACTTGTAGTGGAAGTAGTGAAGTAGTTTCTTTTTAGGAATATTAGTATATTTTCTATTCATAATAATGCTGCATTAATTTATTTTTATATTATTTTCTACAAATTAGATTACCTGATGGCCTTACAGATATCAGTAGAAGTAGAGCAGCTGTTTCATGTTTAATTAATTGAAAACGTTACTAAATGTTCCTGCTAACAAAGCCTGAAGGATTGTACACATATTGTCTGTTTAAATCTTAAATAAAAACATTTACAGAGAATAGAAGTCTTTTAGTATTTTTATGATTTTCTAAAATCATTGTGAGGTTCCCATTCCCATGGTTAAAATCATAAACCATTAATTTTAATTAGCATTATATAATTTATTTTGATATGTCTCTTTATTACCTAATTTTACTTCTTTTTTTCCCCCTAGGATTTAAAGAAGTATCATTTCTATTACTGGTTTTGCTACCCTGCTCTCTGCTTCCCTGATGGAATTGAGATCACACAGAAGCCTGTCTGTCTTGGGGACAGGTTCTCACTAAATCAGGTACTCAAAATCCTAAAGATTGTGAATTCTGCAACACTGAGAACTCCTGTGAGCTTTAAAACTCAGTATTTTGGTCACCACATCCTGAATTAATTGGAGACTAATTTATTTCAAAAACTTCACTTTTTTATTTCTATGTTTGTTTTTTTATTTACCTTTTGTTCCATAACTTGTTTAAATTATCTCAGTTTACGTGCAGATATGGCAAACAATTCTTGAAGAGGTGATTATGCTAAGCTATATATTTTATATTTATTTTTGAGATATATATGTTAAGCTGTATATAAAAATGAATATTCATATGTAGTTATGGATACAACTTGGTTTTGAAATTCATTTAAAAAACCTTTATAAAGGGGCATCCCCTGAGTGAGGCAACTCATTAAAATTACAAAATTGTTAATAAAGTGCATGTTTAGATAAGAAAATAAGTTAATTTTTTAAATTTTTTAGGAAAAAAATAAACAAATTTTAGTTTCTTTCATATTACAGTGCAGAATTGTTAAAGCTGTTGGTTCAGTTGCGTTTGCTCTTTCAGATCCAAGCCCTGCAGAAAGCCTACGATGATCTCTGCCAGGAGGAGGGGGTGACAGCCCTGCCTTATTTTTTAATCAAGTATCATGATAATTCTGTCATGATATCCCTGCTGAAAAAGTGGGATGGCTTCTTTCAAGACCAAGGAGAAAAGGTAATGAGAATTTTATATGATTTTATATAATTAAATGTTTTATCTGTGAATGGTTTGAGGTTTTAATGCTGAGCTGGGCACGGTGGTTGAGTCCTGAGGGTGGCTGTAAAGTGATTTTTGTGCTGTTTTCCCTTTGATTTGTTCTCTTGCTGGCCTTTCACTTTTTGATCATCCCAAAATCAGTGCAGAATTTTGGGTTTGGAGCAAGGCTTCAGTTGCTGGGCTTCCCTCCTAATTGTGTTTTTAAAGTAATAAAAATGCATTTACTGCAGGGAACATCCAGTGTCCCTGAAGAGGCCAAACTGAAGGAATCTCAAAGCTGTGGCAAAAGCTTGAGGAAAACCTGGTGTGAGCATGGATTAAATATTTATAAATATGCAAAATGTGTCTGTAGGCCAGAAGTTTTAAATAAAAATGCCAAATACCCTTTGCCTGACTGTGGATGGAGGAGTTCTCAATTGAATAATTTCATTTGCAGGTGACAGTTGGAGTTTATGATCCTTGTAATTTATCCCAGTATCCAGGGTGGCCACTGAGAAACTTCCTGATCCTGGCAGCCCACAAATGGTACCTGTTTTATTCTTTCCCACCAAGATTATTTATTGGTTGATATTAAATGAGATCATTTTCTCCATGGTGTTTCACTAATATCAATATTGCTTGATATGAAATGAGATCATTTTCTCCATGGTGTTTCACTCATATCACCCACCTGAGATTTTCTTTTTCCCCTTGATATTCACTTGGAGTGATTCTGATTTTGTGCATTATTCTGGTTTTTACTTTTGTCAGTCACAAATTCCTGTAATCCTAAAATGAATGCATTTCCCTGGGAATGCAAACCTCACACCCTGCCAGTACCCTCCAGCTGTGTCAAATCTTATTTAAAATACTCTGTGAATTTAAATAATTAATTAGTGTCAAGTAATAGCAGACTTACATTTTAAAAAATTGATATTAGTAGGTTTTCTTCCTGTACCACTTGAATTTTTTTTGTTGGGGAGAAGATGGGAAGAGAAGACAGTTACATTCTGTGTTTTGAAAAAAAGGATTCAAATTATCAAATGAATTTGTGTTGCTGTAACAAAACTGTAATTAAGTTGCACTTCCATAGTTTTGAGAGTTACATTTACACAGCCTTGGGGTTGAGAAGGGTTTAGGCACTAAAATTCTCAATTTTTGTTTGGGTGTTTGAATCATAAGGAGGAAAAATTATATATATTGAGAACTCAGAGGATCATGGTGCTGATGTGTGCTCTGGTGCTTTTTTGCTTTTTATTCCTCTGAATCTGCAGTTTGTCCAGTGCTGGATGAATGCAAGGACAGGCTGACAGTGGAATTGCTTTGGAGCTGTGTCACACCAAACATTTACACTTCAGGGATTATTTCTCTTTCTGTACCTGATAAAGACAACACTCTCAGTACCAAGACAAAAAGGCTCATTCAGAACCTGCAAAGGACTAAACCTGTGTGAAATGCTGTTAAAATAATTCTCTTTTCTATGAAAGAAGTTGCATGTCTGCCTCTATTTCTCTTTTATCTGGCAGGGGCAGTGCTCTGCAGAGGCTGGAAGTGCTCTGCTTCAGAGACAGGACCATGCAAGGGGTGAGGGACATCACCCACAGCATCATCTTTGAAATCAAACTGCCACAGGCACCCCTGGGCCCAGGTGAGCCATTAAAAACTATATTTTCCCCTTTTTTTTGCCTTCTTAATCACTGCTGACATGGCAAAATAAATTACTACTAAAAATTGTTATTTATGCTAAGTTGTTTCAAATGGATTTTAAATTGTTTCAATTATCTCTAAAGGAAGTGGTTCCTTTTTCAACAAAGAAAGAAGAGGGAATATTCTCTCTTAAATTTTTTCCTCCTGTAATTGTGTTTCCAATTGAAAACTAAGAAAAATCCTCTTGGTGATATAGAAAATGAAATAGAACAGCAGTTTGTCTCATTTTTTCTTGTTGAATTTTTATGCAGCCCCTCAGGTAGGAAAAAAGTGATAGTGAATTTATGGGATGCAAAATTTCTGGAGAATTTCTAAAATGATAAAAACCTATCCCAGAGTGGAACTGTTGCTTTAATCCCATAGTGACACATCCAGGTGTATTTTAAAGCAGTAGACTTAAAATGTTGAAAAATAATCTCAGATTTAATTTCTAGGTACAGGACAGCACCACAAATTTTCTCTACCTCAGGCCAAAAGTTCTGAATGCTTCATATGTCCTTGTTGCAAATTATTTCATTCTATATAATTAAAATACATAATTCTCCACTGAATTTGCACGTGGGGTCTAGGGACCATGAAATGATGACTGAAATTAGCAAAATTGACTGAATTATGAATTTACTGAGCTTGGCATTAAAGATCCGATGGGGAATGATGCCAGGCTCTGTGCTGGGTTTGAAGCTGAACAGGCAAAAGCAGCACAGGGGACACCTGAGAGCAAATTAAACTGCAGATTATTTACTGGCAGGTTTAAAATAAGGGTTTTTCCAACAGGGTTAAGTCCAAAAAATTTCTTTTTTTATGTCCTAGGATATTAAGGTTTTTATTCTTTATTTCCTTTTTCTTCCCTTTTTTTATTTTTTTGTTTTGTTTTTGTTGTTTTGTTTGGGTTTTTAATTTTTTTTGTGTTTTAAATATTTCAAACAGATTGTCCAAAAGCTGTTGGATGGGAGAAGAACCAAAAGGGAAGCATGGGGCCAAGGATGGTGAATCTCAGTGAATGCATGGATCCAAAAAGGTTTGGTTTTTATCTTTTAAATCCCCACAGTTTTCTTTACTTGGGTTTAATCCATAGCAAGTTGAAATGTGAAATAGGGAAGAATATGCAGTAAAACATCCACTGGATATTGTTTGGACTTTCTTTTGGAGGGAAGGACCTTCACAGAGCACATATTTAGAATTTATCCTCATACCCAAAAACTGGATATGCAGTGCACTGCCTGCAGCAGAAATCTTGGCAATTTTGGGCTCTAGCTGAGAATTCTGAATGCATTTATTTAAAACTGAGTGAAATGTAGGTCAGAGTGTTACAGGCCTGTGGAATTTCATTGAATTCCATAACCTGCAGGGTGTTCATGAAAATGAGCATGGGGGAAAGTTCATCCTTTGGGGTTTGTCAGAGTGGGACAGGAAGGAGCTCAGGAAAATGAGATTTTAATAATTTTTATCATTCTGTACATGATGTTTGGGCAATGGATTGAAAAGAATGGGGTTACAGAGTGTCTGCAACTGTGTCCTTGCCTTGGAAAAACTTCTTGGTGTGATGGTTCAGGTTCAGCCCATCAAGCAAAGCCATTTTTATGAAGCATTTGTGGAAATTCTCAGAGTCTTCACAGATATTCAATAAAATTCATCTCAGAGTTCTTAATTCTTCAAGTTTCTTGACCTTCTTTACTTGATTACATTATCTAAGTGCTTCCCAAAGAGGTGTTGGTAAAATGCCAGCCTTGACAAGAGCCATTTAAATCCTTGTTGGACAAATCATTTTCTGGATGCTGAAAAGATTTTATTTAGGATGTGTGAGGGAATGAAACTTGCAGGAATCCGAGACCTGTGCTGGTCTGGCTTGGTGAGGGCTTTAACACTCTGTGCTCTGATGGATATAAAACTCTGCCCCTTGCTTGAACACAGATTTCCTACTTCATTTTCTTTCTCAAACTTCCACAAAGATGGCCCCATGTGCCTTAGGCACGTGTGGAATATTTCAAGTTAAGGGCAGGAGTAACTGGATACAGGAAACCAGGTAGTTTCAAAAAGAAACAAAAATTTATGGATAAATTATCTGTCTTAGCACTCATCTTAACAAGAATCTTGGCTGAGACACCATTTTTATTTCCTATTTGCATTAATTTTATTTTAGATTGTTACCTTTTCAGAAGCTCTTGTCTGTTTGTTTTTTCATATTACCTATGTGTTATACTACTTCATTTTTCTTTCTCAAACTTCCACAAAGAAGGCCCCACATGCTTTCTTTAGGGCACAAGTGGAGTATTTCAAGTTAAGGGCAGGTGTTACTGGATACAGGAAACCAGGTAGTTTAAAAAAGAAACAAAAATTTATGGACAAATTATCTGTCTTAGCATTCAGCTTAACAGGAATCTTGGCTGAGACACCATTTTTATTTTCATATTTGCGTGAATTTTGTTATTAAAATTTTAGGTTTAGATTGTTACTTTTTCAGAAGCCCTTGCGTGTTTTTCATATTACCTATGTGTTATACTGCTGAATTCTTTCTCTTCTTTAAAATAGTGTTTAAAAATTACCTCATTCAGCTGAAATATCAGTGATTTGTTTGTTGGAGAAGCACAGGAGGGTTCAGAGGTTGTTGTTATTTATTCCCTGGCACAGGTTGGCAGAATCCTCCGTGGATCTGAATTTGAAGTTGATGTGCTGGAGGTTGGTGCCTACTCTGGATCTGGAGAAGATTGTGGCTGCCAAGTGTCTGCTGCTGGGAGCTGGCACCCTGGGCTGCAGTGTGGCAAGGACCTTGATGGTGAATCCTTCATCTCACAAATAACCTCCTGCTTCTCATAAAATCTAAATTAATTTATTTTTTCTGTCCAGCTGCCATGACACATCAGATCCAAATTGCATTCTCTGCATCAGAATACACAGAATTCACATTAGTTATATTAGAAATTGCAAGGAAGAGGTGAAATCTGTACATAATGGAAATAAATTACTGAAGTTCTGCTGACATGAGATAGTAAGGGAACGTTGGCAGAATATTTTGAATTTATTTAAAAAAAAGAAATTCTGGAACAAATTAACAAGCTACAAAGGGCAAATTCACAGGAAGCACTTGAAATAACTGCGCTGGTGATTCCTTTCAGGGATGTTCACCCTATTCCACTGAATTCAGCAGGGTTTGAGGGATTTCTGTTAAATGCTATATTTAGCATTTAAAACCCAAATTATTTATATATATATTTATATAAAATTTATATATTTATTATATATAGACATTTAGCAACCAAATTTTCTGTTCCCTTATTTCAGTCACTTCAAAAAACTACAAAAACTTTGGTAGCTTAAAAAAAGTGAACAAAACTCAACGTTGAGTGTGTGACATTACACAAAAACATTTCCCAAGGCTGTTGTACTTACCTTTGTTAACTTTTGTTCTCCTTTAGGGCTGGGGGGTGAGGAAAATCACTTTTGTGGACAATGCAAAGATCTCCTACTCCAACCCCGTGCGGCAGCCGCTCTACGAGTTCGAGGATTGCCTGAGTGGGGGCAAGCCCAAGGCTCTGGCAGCAGCAGAAAGGCTGCAGAAAATCTTCCCAGGAGTGGTAAAATCATAATTTCCATGTTGCTATCACTGGGGGAAAGGAAAAAATGGGAAAAAAAAAAAAGTGACTTTAAATTGCTATTCCAAGTTGTAGTAGTTAAACATTAAAAACACTTTGCAGGTGTTATGAAATATTATAGGTGGTTACTGAAATATCTTAGTTGGTTACTGAAATATTTCAGGAGGTTACTAAAGTTTTTCAGTTAGCTACGGAAATATTTTACTTCAAATTTCTGTTCCTGGTAACTTTGTTGAGGTAAATTGTCACAATATGACACAAAATGAACGACACTCACACGCCGAGATGTCCAAGGCAAATAAATCTAGTTTATTTCTGGACCTCAATATTTATAGAATTCCAAAAGTGACCATGGATTGGAGGATGAAATTGCCAACCACACTGGTCAAACCAACAGTCCATCAATTCTCTCCTCCTCCAGAAAGGAGTGCAAACCAATCATTATTTACATGAAAAGTCCATTACAAAAATGTGAACATCAGAAGGCTCAGAAGAACTTTAGAAGAATGGGGAGACAGTAAATATTTGTAGTAATGAAATATAATTAAGGATCATTAAGTAAATTTTTAGCTTGTTGATAGTGAAGTGAATTTTTTTCTTGTCTAGGATGTCCTAAGGAGCTTTGAGTAATGCCAGGTCAGACATATTAGTTGTCTACTCTGGGAGCAGGTCCTGAGAGAAGTAATAAATGTATTTTTGAGATTTCCTTTTATTTTTCACACCTCAAATTTGCAATCTTCTCTAAATTGATTTTCTATATTAGAAGCTATAGCTTAATTTTTAGCAGCTGGCAAAGAGAACAACATACAGTCCCCTTTTCTAGATGTCATGCTAATAATTTATGAGATGCTAACTAAATATTTTGGATAATTTGGAGGCATTTTAAAACTTTTCTTAGATTCCTGAGATTTTGGGATTCTGTGGAATGAGCAAGATCTTTCACTGAGGATACGTATGGACATTTACTCTTCCTTAAAATAATGCCAATGTGCTCTTTGAGCTCTTTTTGCCATTGTTTGGCAGCCAAATGCACCTCAGCCACTTTGGCTGGTGACTGCTATCTTTGTTTTGAGGCACATTTATTCAAATAAAATTGTTGGAGCTGCCAGGCTTGTCTGTATTCCTTCAGCTGCAATGCCTGGATTGAGCTTTTTTTGGAATTCTGGTAGGATTTTAATATTTACAAACCACATTGACCATTTTGTGGTGCAGTCAATTCTTGCTTATTTATTTTAATTTATTAAACACATAAATTATCAAATCAATTATAATTGATAAATTAATAAGTTATTAACAAATAATTAAACCCTGAGTCACCAGCAGTATGAGTTGAGCTGATCTAATCAATCAGCACTTGAGCAGCACAGGCTTGATGGGTTATCCATGAACACTTTATTCATACACAACATGGATTAAGTTCTGTATTCCTAGCAGGAATTTTGGAGGAGATAATGACACTGGAATTAAAGCCTGCCCAAAAATTTCCTGATGTCTGTGGTGATGGTACAGAGGGGAGAAAAAGGTGGATCCTTTGGTATGGTTAATGCAGCTGTTACCCACAGGCATTTCTCCAAGCTGCTAGACGGGCCCTGGTTCTTTTTATCCTCAGGGTGATATCTGTCTGTTGTTTCTGTCTGTTATTTCTGTATGTTATTTATTTCTGTATGTTATTTCTGTCTGTTATTTATGTGTGTTCATCCTTTTGGTCATTTGACTCACCTGGATTTATGAGTTGTGCTGATCATTAATTGATCTGTGCAAAAGCACATCCCACCAACCTTCCTCTCCTCTCTTCCCGTGGAATTTTATGCTTGGTTCATCCAGTTTTTGTATTTTGGTTCCTAATTTTTCCTGCAGTGCCAAACAGGGAGGCTTTGGCAAGGCTTGTCCTTCTGTGGCATAAATGAGGGCTCCATCCTTCCCTTCCCTTCCAGCAGATGGCTGGCAGCTTGTGCTGCCACATTTCCAAAGGAGTGAATGAATTGTTTGCATTGTCCATGCATTGTGTAGATGCTTCTTTGGCTCAGTATTTGCTGTTAGTGTGTCCTGCCCAAGTCAGGGGCTGGAAGAGGGAAATGTTTCTGCCACAGGAACAAATCCTGCAGCTCTGCAGTGACAAGTCTCAGAATTGCTTTTTGATGTCTCAGATTCCCACATGGCTGGGGAATTACATCCAAGGCTGTTCTCCTGCTGAGGAACTGAAAATGAGGAGCAGAGTGTGTGATGCTGCACATGGCTGTGACTGAAGCAGAAATAAAAACTGCAGCCTGTTAAAATCATGTGGGAAGGGGCTGGAAAGAGAATCAGGACACAATTTTCAATCACTGATCATAATCATGTGTGAATGTGGCTGCTTGGCTTTGGGGTGCTGTTTGTAACCCCTGGGATCAGGAGCAGCTCCTCTCTGTTCTTGTAGTGATTTTCTAGGCCTGCTAAGACTTTGAGTGTGTTCTGCAGAAATCCAGGGTGAGAAACCCCAGCAGCGTGCCTCAGTGCCCAACCCTGCCCCACAGAGAGGTGCAGGGAGCAGAGCTGCCATTCTGACAAGGGGGATTGAATTTGTCCTCTGCTCTGTGCTGGATTTTACACCTGTTTCATCACAAGGTCACCCTCTGAACTGCTGGTTTTCTCTCTGCCTCTCTCCAGAGCTCTGAGGGTTACAACATGAGCATCCCCATGCCAGGCCACCCCGTGAACTTCTCAGAGGTGACCATGGCCCAGGCTCAGAAGGACGTGGCACAGCTGGAGGAGCTCATTGAGAGCCACGATGTGGTGTTCCTGCTGATGGACACCAGGGAGAGCCGCTGGCTGCCGGCTCTCATCGCAGCCAGCAAGAGGAAGGTGGGCCACAAGCTATTCATTGCTTTTCTCCCTTTCCTTTCATTTTCTTTCCTTTTTTTTCCTTTCTTTTTTTTTTTTTCTTTCCTTTTTTTCCCCTTTCCTTTTTTTCCCTTTCCTTTTTCCCTTTCCTTCCCCATCAATGGCCAGATGTGGTGTTCCTGCTGATGGACACCTGGGAGAGCTGCTGGCTGCCTGCTCTCATTGCAGGTGTGCTGCCAATCCATTCATTTCCTTTTCCCCCTTTCCTTTTCCCCTTCTCTTTTCCCTTTCCTGCTGTCATTGCAGCCAGCAAGAGGAAGGTGCTGCCAGTCCTTTCCTTTCCTTTCCTTTCCTTGAAATTTCCTTGAAATTTCCTTTCCTTGAAATTTTTCCTTTCCTTTCCTTGAAATTTCCTTTCCTTGAAATTTCCTTTCCTTGAAATTTCCTTTCCATGAAATTTCCTTCCCTTTCCTTCAAATTTCCTTTCCTTCACATTTCCTTGCCTTCTCCTTCCCTTTTCCTTCCCCTTCCGTGTCTCCTTTTTCCCCTTTCCTGCTCTCATTGCAGCCAGCAAGAGGAAGGTGTCCCACCAAGACACTCATTTCCTTCCCTTTCATTCTCCCTTTATTTTAAGTCCTTTATTTTATTTTATTTTATTATTATTTATTTCTTATTTTAATTCCTTTATTTTAAATTTCTGGCCCTGAGCACTGGATTTCTTTCTTTATAGCTTAAATGAGCTTCCCTTTGCCAGTGGAGAGATTCAGTGAGGGCTTCACTGGGTCACAGCCTCAGGTGTAAGTGTGTGTAAATTGATAATTCATTAGCTCCTCCCAAATCCTCCTGGCCTTTCTTGCACCTGTGCTCTTGCTTTCTGTTGTAGCTGTTTAAAAACAGCACAGAAATGACAAAAATGGCAAGTTTGCAAAGCTTGTTATCTCCTTATAAAAAATCTGATTCTATTCCCCAGAGGACTGACTCTCCATGTTTGTTTAAAAATAAACATCAATAATATTAACCCATCACACAGCCCAGGCAGGGTGTTCCTGGCACTGTGTTTGTGCTGCTCATGGACACAAAATTCCTGCTACATACTGAGCAGAAATTTGGAGCAGAAATCATGCGAATAAACCAATTTCTGGCCTTTCTGTTCTTCTTCAGAGCTGCCAATATGAGCATCTTAAAGTTCAATTTTTAAATCTCTTCAGAATTTTAAAACAATTCAAGTCAGCCAACTCCCAATTATTATAGGAGTTGGCTGATTTTAATTATTATTTTTATTATCATTACCACAAAATCTTTGTGTTGTTTTGGTACCATACAGAACTTTTTTTTTCAACTCAACCCAAATTCTACTTTCAACTGTGGTAAGAGTTTTTCAAAACTTCAGTTTTAAAATTTCAAAGTTTGAAGCTGGGAAGTGCCAGGGCCAGCCTACTCTTCCACGTGGCATGGCTGGGAATTTCCAGCAATATGTGGAGTTTTGTGTGCATATTTTGTATTAATCCTGCCTGGTTCAATCAGGATAGAATGATTTTATGATCTCCAAAACTTCCCTTCCTTGTTTTCTTATCCAGCAGTGCCCCTCTACATTTTACTTGCAGCACTTGTATAATTATGAGGATAAATTTTGAAACTTTTGGTGACATTTCTCTGTTACTCTGTGGTGCAGTGTGTCTGCATCACAATTGGTTGATTTGATAACATCCCTTAGATCTGAGGAGATGGAACTCTGTCACTGAAAAAACAGCAGGGAAATCTCCAGGTGTCGAAAAAAATGCTCAATATTTTATGTTGTAAACACTTAATGAGAGCTCCAATGTGATTTTGTGTGGCACCTGCAGAGCTCAAGTACTGCACAGTTTGGTCCCAAAGGTCTCAAAAAGAAAATAAAGAACATAGTGAGAGATGATTTGTGTGAAATGCACACCACAGATCCATGGGGAGCAGTAAGAGTTCTTTTCCCCACTCCACCATTAAAGTGCCTTGGGGATCTTTGCCATTTCCTGCAGTCCTTCCCCAAAACAATCACCTCAGACCAACCAACCCCTCAAATGCTAAATCCTCTTGTCAGATATTAAATCTCTGCTCCTGCTGAGCACTGGAACTTGTTAAAATGTCTTCTTGCCAAAAGATACTTTTTCATTTGTCTCTTGTACTTTTCCATTGTCTCTTTATCAAAACCAGATGGTTTTTTTTAATTAAGGCTCAATCAGTTAGAATGGAATAGTTACCTGTAAACTGAGAAGAAACAGTTGATGGCAGTGGGAATTGTTTAACAATATCAGTAATTTCTGCTAATAGCAGCTCTTACTCATATTTTGGTAGTGGAACACCTTATTCAGGTTTTACAGGTAGATGCAGTGAGAAGATGCAATCTTTTAATTGCACAGATTCAGCAGCAGGTTGCCACTTCAGGACTGAGGAAAAACAAACTACTCCAAGGCTGAAACAATATGCAGAAATAATGGGAAATACTGAGAATGATGATGAGACTCAAAGCTTGCTAATTAAGATGAGTAATTCTTGAGAGAGCTTCCCTTAGAGTTCTTTTAAACAATTCCTGGGCGGAAGAATGGAAAACGAGGGAGTGCTGCAGCAGAATTTCTACCTGCAGATGAAGCAGTGCATCTCCCTTTGTATTTGACTGGCTGCAGTCAATATAGTGTTGATATTTGTGCCCCAGATTCCCCAGTGCACTTGCCACAAAGTGGAGAGAGATACAGTGAGAAGATGCAATCTTTTAATTGCACACATTCAACATCAGGGTGCCACTTCAGGACTGAGGAAAATAAACTACTCCAAGGCTGAAACAATATGCAGAAATAATGGGAAATACTGAGAATGATGATGAGACTCAAAGCTTGCTAATTAAGATGAGTAATTCTTGAGAGAGTTTCCCTCAGAGTTGTTCTTTTAAACAATTCCTGGCTGGAAGAATGGAAAACGAGGGAGTGCTGCAGCAGAATTTCTACCTGCAGATGAAGCAGTGCATCTCCCTTTGTATTTGACTGGCTGCAGTCATTATTGTGTTGATATTTGTGCTCCAGATTCCTCAGTGCACTTGCCACAAAGTGGAGAGAGAGGGGAGATGAGGACACAGAAATTGTGCAGCACAGCTGCTCCTGCTCCCCATGTGACTAAGCAGATGCAGATGAAGCCCATAAGTAATCATTAATTGCTTTCCTTACTGAGCAGAAATTGCTTTGGATAACAGATGGGATTTCAGTGCTTGAAGCTGCTGTTGCTTTTTTTCTTTTTTGTCACAAGTTTGTGTAACAACTAGAGGGAGTCATTCATTGGGATCAGATTGCCCTGAAAGGCACAGAAAAGGACAAGGCCTTGTGACTTTCTGAAACAGACTTTTATTTTGGTTTTGGTTTTTTTTAAAGGCTTGACAGCTGGAATTCTGCACCTTTCAGAAGCTCTGTTGTTTATGGCAAAGGTGGTAAATATGCAGTTAATGGGTTGCTCATCCATCTACAGCCTGTGGGGTTTTTTGGCATTTTTAGTGAATAAAAACCTCAAGGCTGCTTTTTTCTTCCCCTCCCTTTTTGGCTCACTTAAAATCTGTTGTTCTCTCTTTATTGTTCACAGTTGGTCATCAATGCTGCCTTGGGATTTGACACTTTTGTTGTTATGAGACACGGCCTGAAGAAACCAAAACAGCAAGAATGTGCTGGTGATTCACATTTCAGCAACACCTCTGCTCCTTCTGATCTGCTGGGATCCTCACTGTTCTCAAATATCCCTGGCTACAAACTGGGCTGCTACTTCTGCAACGATGTTGTGGCACCAGGGGATGTGAGTAGAACATATATATAGAGTATATTCTATAATATATATTATATATATTATATATAGGGTATATTATACAATATATAGAGTATATAATATATAATATGTATATTATATATTATGTAATAGAGATATATATCTATTATATCTATTATATATTATATATCTCTCTATTGTTGCATTTATTTATATTTGGTTTTAAGGGCATTTCCTAAAGGGAACTGCTACTTCTGCAATGGTGTTGTGGCACCAGGGGATGTGAGTAGAACTTTATGCAAACAGTGATTATATATTATATATAATATATGATATATTATGTATTATATATTAATTATATATTATATACTATATATCTCTCTATTATATATTATATATCTCTCTTTTGTTGCAACTCGAATTTTTATTTGGTTTTAATGGCATTTCCTAAAGGGATCTGCTACTTCTGCAATGGTGTTGTGGCACCAGGGGATGTGAGCAGAACTTTATGCAAATGGTGATTATATATTATATATTATATATTATATATTATATATTATATATCTCTCTTTTGTTGCAACTCGAATTTTTATTTGGTTTTAATGGCATTTCCTAAAGGGATCTGCTACTTCTGCAATGGTGTTGTGGCACCAGGGGATGTGCATAGAACTTTATGCAAACTGTGATTATATTATATATTTTATATTTTATATATCTCTCTATTATGTATCTCTCTATTATCTATTATATATTATATATCTCTCTTTTGTTGCAACTTGAATTTTTATTTGGTTTTAATGGCGTTTCCTAAAGGGATCTGCTACTTTTGCAATGATGTTGTGGCACCAGGGGATGTGAGTAGAACCTTATGCCAACAGTGATTAAATCTCTCTTTTGTTGCAATTTGAATTGCTATTTGAATTTTTAATGGTGTTTCCTCAAGGGATCTGCACCTTGTTGATGCACATGAGTTAAAGAAATAGCAGGTTTTTATTTGGAAGGTCACAGATGTGAATTTGACCGCACTAGAGGTGTTTTGCACAGGGCAGCTGGTTCCTTTGGAGTTATTCTGCCCTCCCTTCAGGGTTGTCTGTGTTTGTAGTCCACCAGGGATCGGACTCTGGACCAGCAGTGCACGGTCAGCAGGCCTGGGCTGGCCATGGTGGCTGGAGCCCTGGCAGTGGAGCTCATGGTTTCTGTGCTGCAGCATCCAGAAGGGTGAGCCATTGCTGTTCTCTGGGAAATCGCACCAATCTAACAGAATCTGTAGTGAGGAGAGGGAGTTACACCTCAAGAAGGACAATTCTGTCAGGGGTGGTGTCTGTAAATGAATGCAGTGTGCAGTGTTGGAGGGAAATGTTTCATCAAGTCTTAAGTTTTTCTTCTGTCTCTGAATTTAACCTCAGAAAAGTATCAGGAATCTTTCTAAAGAAGAAAATGTGGCTATTAGAAATCTTGGATTTGCTTTGCCTTTCCCTTTTCCCTCTTTCCCTTTTCCCCCTTTCCTTTCTTTTCCCCCCCTTTCCTTTCTTTTTCCCCCCTTTCCTTCTTTTTCCCCCCTTTCCTTCTTTTTCCCCCCCTTTCCTTTCTTTTCCCCCCATTTCCTTCCCCCCCCCCCTTTTCCCACCTCTTTTTTTCCTCCCTTTTTATCCCCTTTTTCCCCTCTTTCCCCCTTTTTTCCCCCTTTTTTCTTCCTTTTCCTTTTTTTTCCCTTTCCCTGCGATGAGGAGCTGTTGTAAGTTATGGCAGGCACAGGAAGGGTTTAAAGGTAAGCCCTGTGTTGTAAATATTATTTAAAACTCAGTGAGTGGGACGCAGAAATTACTCTGGAATTCTGCACCCTGAACATGAGGCTTGTTTCCTCTCTTTAAAACCTGGAAGAGAAGAAGTGATTAGGAGTTGCAGCTGAGTCTCAGACTGATTTTTATATATATTTATCATGCTGAGTCTTGATTCCTATGAAACAGACTTTCCACACAGATTCCTTGACTCACTCTAATCTGTAGCAAAATGTCTGGAAGCTGCCTGGAAATTCTGAGTGTGCAGTCTTGCTCTAATTTCCCCTGTTGTGTTTTTGGCAGTGGTTATGCTGTGGCCAGCAGCAGTGATGACAGAATGAATGAGCCACCCACTTCTCTTGGGCTTGTTCCTCACCAGGTAAATCATTGGTGATAAAACGTTTTTGTTGAAGAGCTGGGAACTGATCATCAGTGGTGTTGTCTCCTTAAAAAAATGCTGATTCTATTTCCCAGAGGACTGGGTCTCCATGTTTATTAAAAAATAAATATCAATAATATTAACCCATCACACAGGCCAGGCAGGGTGTTCCTGGCATTGTGTTTGTGCTGCTCATGGACACAAAATTCCTGCTACACATTGAGCAGAAATTTGTTGAGAGCAGGAAGTTGGAGCAGAAATCATGTGAATAAAGCAATTTCTGAATTTTCTTTTCTCCATCACAGCTGCCAATATGAGCATCTTGAAGCCCACATTTTGAATCTCTTCAGTGTTTGAAAACAATTCAAATCTGCCAACTCCCAATTATTATGTTAATTGGCTTATTTTAATTATTTTTAATAATTCTATTTATTTTTATTTAATAGTATTTTAATAATATTTATATAATAATATCAAATATTTAATAATAATTTTATTTAATAATATTTTAATTATTTATTATTGTTATCACGAAGTCTTCACATTGTTTTGGTACCATACAGCACTTTTTTCTTCATCTCAACCCAAATTCCACTTTCAAACATGTTAACAGTTTTTCAAAAATTCAGCTTCAAAATTTCAAAATTGGGGTATTATTATTAATATTGTAGTGTTACTGAAGTTCTGTTCCTGGTGACACCTCTTCATTGTGATAAACAGAATAAAAAGGATGATCAATACTCCAAAGAGTTCCCAACTGGTGTGATCAAACACTGCTGCAAAGTGTTTTCAGAGCTCCCTCTGTTAGCAGAAATAGAGGTCTGAAATTTTAAAATTGCCTCTCAATAATATCGTATTAACATCATAACTGAGGAATGCACAGCAGTTAAGTGTTAGACTCTAGGTTATAGAGATGGGGAAAAAATGTGTTTAAGCTGTAACACCATGATTTTTTTTTTTTCATGGAACTTTGCAGTCAGAAAAGTCCAACTGCAGATGGTGCTGTGCCTCTATTTCTAGTGAAGTGATGCTGCATTTATTGTGCCATTATTTGTACAGAAAAGAAAATTCACTACAAGTTTTACTGGGAAGGACTGTTAGAATGATAGATGTTCTTTTTATGGAATGTATGTGTCCAGTTCATGTTGAATTTTGGAAATGTTTAAAATAGTAATGTGATTTTTTTTTTTTCATCTTCTAGATCCGAGGATTTTTATCCAGATTTGATAATGTTCTTCCAGTCAGCCTGGCATTTGATAAGTGCACAGCCTGTTCAGCCAAGGTAAGGCTGAGTTTGTGCTTTCTATTATTTTTATATTTCTAGGTCAATTTTGGGGAACTTTCTGACATTTTCTGACTTGGAATCTGTTCCCACTTCAGCTAAAAGTTCTTTTTCCCTCATAACCTTTTTGTTTAGCTGTTTTCTAAATTTCTTTGGCATCACCTCTTAGCATGATGCATTTTTTTTTATCCCCACATAAATGCTGCCATCAGCTGAAGAATCCAAGCAGCTTAATGTCTTTCCAAACAGGCAAAACTGTTGAAATTTCAAGTTTGTGATACAAAACAGACAAATAATGAACAATTGAGGGGAAAAAATTGCTTCTTACCATTTCTTTCTTGAGCAGATTGTTCATTTTGCTGCTGGTGCTGCCAGTCCTGAGTCACTTCAGAGTTCCCAGCTGTTTCTTGGCTCTCTGGGGCAGCTCTTGCATTGTTTCCCTCTCCTGTGGCTTTCCAAATTTCCCTCTGGCGAGTTTTTTCTGGCTGTGGAGTGCAGACTTCCAGAAGTTTTCCCTGGGATCTCTCAGCAGGGAGATTCAGAGGGTTTTTGCCTCATGTTTTGAAGTGCTTGGAGTGCCATGAGTTTGTTTCACCCTCCTGTACCTTGAGGAAGTGCTTGCAGAAAGTTCTTTTTGCTCCTTTCACTGTCCTCATCCTCCTTCCAAAGAACAATCATACAATAATGGGGCAATTTCTGGAGAACTTGCATAATAATTCTTCTCCAGTGATCCTTTTTTCCCCTCTGGGCTATCTGGGTACATCTGACAAGTTTTGAAGGACTCTCAATGTGCATTTTCTCTTCCAAAGTTGAAGCACTAAAGTTGGGTGTTTCTAAAAATAAACAGCAGTTGGATCTCCCCTGTTGAAGAGCAGTAGCTGAAACCTTGATGGTGGAGAGTTTAAACTGTTTAATGCAGCTTTTTTCTTTTAGTTTTCCTCTCATTTTCTCCTTATCTCCAATTCAGGAAACCCTGCCATGTAAAAACAATAAAAATGTACATCCACACAGATGAATTCAATGCAGGGATCAATTTTTCCTTAGCAAATCATTTCCTCTTGGAGGTCATTTTAAGAGAGCTTCATTTTACATAAACAGACTTGATGATTTAATAAAAAGTGCCTTGGATTTTAGCAGCTGTGCTATTCCCAGAGAGATCACTTTTCATGTGGTTTGGGGATTGAATTTCTTGTGTGCTGAAAAGGTTGCTCCATTGGCTCACAGATTTCCTTACAGTAGAAACACAGCCTTTGTTTACTTTGCTAACTTTATTTATTAGCATAAGAATATGTCACCCTACATTATGTGGAAATCTGATGCTGATGCTTTGAAATGACAAATCCAATTATGATTTCATTGTAGTCTCTGTGTTGGTTTGTTGTGCGAGGGTTTGTTTTGTAATAAGGTAATTTAGGATTTCATCCTGCTCCGTGTCAGAATGACTGGAGGTTCAGGCTTTCAGCACAGATAGAATTGAATTTGCTGGCACTGTGGTTTTCTTTTGTCAGCATTCTCCTCCTTGAGCTCTCTGTAACTCTTAAAGCACAAAATGAATGAATTAGGAATTTTAGAAGAATTCCAGTACAGCATGAAGCCATCCAGGAGGACTCAGGAGAAGCTGCTGATCTGAATGTTTGGAGATTTGAGTTCTTTTCATTTGGACTCACTCATTCCTTCATTTCTCTGCTGTAGAAGCTGCAGAGGCCAGACATGCAAGCAGCCAAATTTCCCTACCAGAACTGTCCTGCCCAGGCCACGTGCCAGAGAAGCTTCCTGTAGACAATTGTTCAGGAATTTTGGGATGCTCACAGCAGGAAACCAATCTATTTTTATTCTGGGCCAATTTTTCCCTGTACGATTCCCCCTCTGTCTTATACTGCTCCTGCAGGAGCTGTGCTGGAATGTCAAATATCCCTGTCAGGGCTCAGGGCACTGGGAGAGCACTGAGAGCTCTTCTGGAGCCAAACTTGTTCTGGCACCAGCAAGGGAGACTCCAGAGCTCTTTAGGATGGATATTTGTCAGGCAATATTTAGGATGGATATTTGTCAGGCAATATTTAGGATGGATATTTATCAGGCAATATTTAGGATGGATATTTGTCAGGCAATATTTAGGATGGATATTTGTCAGGCAATATTTAGGATGGATATTTGTCAGGCAATATTTAGGATGGATATTTGTCAGGCAATATTTAGGATGGATATTTGTCAGGCAATATTTAGGATGGATATTTGTCAGGCAATATTTAGGATGGATATTTATCAGGCAATATTTAGGATGGATATTTGTCAGACAATATTTAGGATGGATATTTGTCAGGCAATATTTTGGATGGATATTTGTCAGGCAATATTTAGGATGGATATTTAGGATGGATATTTGTCAGGTAATATTTAGGATGGATATTTGTCAGACAATGTCTGGATGGATATTTGTCAGGCAATATTTGGGTGGATTTTTTCATGCAATATTTAGGATGGATATTTGTCAGGCAATATTTAGATGGATATTTGTCAGGCAATATTTAGGATGGATATTTTCCATTTGAATGGATATTTGTCGGACAATATCTGGATGGATATTTGTCAGGTAATATTTAGGATGGATATTTGTCAGGCAATATTAGGATGCATATTTGTCAGACAATACTTTTTTCTGACCCAGAGATGGGGCAACTGAAAGGTATTTTAAAATCCTTTGTTCCTTTTTCAGTAATTTGAAGGGTGAGACAATACAGATGTTATAATTCATACTATCACAATCAGAAGTTAACTTTTTCTTAATTACAAAACACAATAAGCATTTCTTGGCCTATCAGCTTTTTACCACACCATACTATAGATGCCTTAAAACTAATAATCTAAAACAACTCATCAGTCTTACTACAATGCATCTTTCATAGTTCTGTTTCTCTAAAGTATCTAACCTTATTTACAGAGCCTTCCTTTGAAACTTTTTTCTAGCTCCATTTCTCTCTCACCAATATCTGTCCTACTCCATATTATTTCTAAATCAGCATTTCTTGTCTCAAAGTTTACATAGAAATACACACTGTGTAAACCTTCTATCAGGCCCTGAAACTCTACAAATCCATTTCCCACAGATATTAATTTGTAACAACTGCTTTACTTACAGGAGAGAACATTTAGCTAATTACTGACTGGGCTAATTAACCTGTTTACCCTGTTGGGAACAAAATGAGGCTGTTTGCTCATTATGTTGTGGTGAGAAGTGTTGCAATTCCTTGGAAAACAGATCTGATTAGAAAACTGGTTAAAGCCTTAAATCATGAATGTTGAAATATGTATTTTAAAATTTAAAAAAGGATTAAAAAGAATTTTATTGCAGAACTGCAAATGTTTCTATTTTAATGAGGGCAATGAATGTTTCCATTCATTGCTCCCCTTCTTGTGTATCATGGAATGAATGAGGAGACCCCACAGATGCAGAGTTTAATGTCACAAAAGATAATTGCCACCAAGCAACCTGGATATAAAGATGTAGAAACCCTCTGTTTTTCCCCATAGCTCACATTTCTTCCAGAGTTAAAATTGAGCACCCATGTGCTGGAAATCTGACTTTTCTCCTTTTAGAGATTTCTCCTTCCCCTACTACAGTCATGTACATGTGGAACCACCGCCACTATAAAATGTACCAAAATCAGCTCAATGTTCTCTGCTGATTTTCCAGTTCTTTCCCAACTTTCTCCTCCATTTGCTGGGAGCTGGAGCTGCTGAAAGGGTTTTTTTACCCCTTTTTACCCTCTGAGTTCCTGTTGGATGTTTCTCAGTTTCACTGCATGTCACAAAGGGATCAGGGATGGCCTTGTTGGCATTATTAGAATTTCTTTCAGGATATTCCCCTGCCCTTGCAGATGTTTTCCCTTTTTGCCATCTCAGGAATACATGAGACCCTTTTGCTGTGACATTTACCGAGCGCTAGGGTTGTGTAAGTTATTTATGAGTGTTTCAGTTTGGAAATGTGTCATCGTGGAGCCTCAACAATGCTCTCATTGTTCTCCTCCGCTCACTGCTGGGCCTGCATTTTTATTTGAAATTGTTGTGATCACTTATGACAGCAACCTGCAAGATTCCCTCTCTCACTGATGCTTTTCGGTTGAGATAATTTTGATTTTTTGATTCCAGGCCCTTCAGATTTACCCTGACTGCGCTAAGACATTCTTCTTTGCTTTCTCCCAGTAGCAATGGATGATCTGTCAATGAAACTCCTTCAAATATTTTTTATGTTATACACATCTTTATGTTATACACATCTTTATATTATACACATCTTTATATTATACATTTTTACATTACCATTGACAGTTCTCAAGTCAAGTATTGTGTGAATGTAAAAGTCATGAGGGGAAAAAGCCTTGGTGGTTCCTGTGCTAAGAAAAAAAAGAAAATATCATTTGCAGAGCTTCCAGAATTGATGAAGGAAACGGGGAGAAATGTTTGTCCTTCAGGAATGAACATTTCAAAAATGAAAAGAATGTTTTATCTGTAGCTGTGCTGTGAAGTCAGTGAAACAGAGCCCACATGTAACTTTCCTTATTTCCTGAATTTATATATGTGAGCATTTGACAAGAATCTGTACAAATTACTACTGGATAGATTTTATTGAGATTTGACGAATTAATTGTTAATACAGCCAGGCACATTTTCAGCATCCTGAGTTCTATGTAGGACACCTCTTAGAAATGAATAAAAATGAATTTTCTCCTTGTTATATTTAAATTTCAGAATAGTAGGGTTTAAAGGAGAGAGGAAACCTGCCATTGTTTCAGGCAATAGAATAATTTCTGACAGATGGTATTTCTGTTACATTTAAATGAAATTGTGTGGGTCTCATTTGGGATTTTTCCCAGAATTTCTTCTTCCAATTCAGTGAAATCCTAACTACAATTAGGAAAAAGTAAAGGACTATCAATGAGGAAAAAAACAGCATCACTGCAGTTTGTAATATTGACATATTCAATATCTACCTATGCCTACAA